GGCCTGGCCTCGCCCTGTGGCTGGGCCGGGGTCCCTCCAGCTCAGCCCCAGGTTTACGGGGACTGTCACGGGGCGGGGGGACTTGCCTGTGTTCCTCAGACCCCGGTGTTCAGTCTGCCGGGGACTGGGTTTAAGTGCAGATTCTGTCCCGGAACGGGTGGGCCTGGAAGGTGCTCCCGGGGACCCACTGCTTCCGCTCCTTGGGCCACTTTCAGGGTAAGGGTCCAGAGCCCCCCTCTGGCCCCCTGGCCTGGCAGGGGCACGCACAGCCAGGTGGGTCCCCAGCCTAGCTGGCCCAGCTCTGGCTCCCCTCCTCCCTGTGGCCAGGTCTGGGAGGGCCCAGGATGGCCTTTGGGGCCTGGGGAGGGGCTGTGCCCCATGAAAGTGACTCCTTTGGCTTCTCCTGGGCCTGGTCCCCCTGCCCCCATGCACCAAGCAGGGCTCAGGGCATATGGAGGTGCAGAGGGGGCGGGGCGAGAGGGTGGCAGCCTGGAATACCAGCCGAGGCCCTCAACCGTCTTCTGTAACTGAGGGGCAGTGGGTTGGAGGTTGGGAAGGTCGGGGACTGAGGGAGAGGAGTTGGCAGCCCAGAACCCCTTCCCTCCTCAGACGGCAGCTCCCCATGATCGGACGATTATTCGCGGGGGCACTGGGAGCGGGGAGCTGAGGTTCAGTCAGCACCCACTGTGCTCACAGCTGCACTATCCGGGCTCCAGTTTCATTTCACAAAAGCCCCGTGAGGGTGGTTTTATTGTCCGCACTTTCCAATAGTGAGACGCATTCCTAGACACGGTGACGGGCCCAAATCCGAGGCGTTGATCTGGTTGAGGCTTGAATCCAGGGCTGAGTGTGGACACCTGGGCAGGGGAGGTGGGTGAGGCAGGCCCTGTGCTCAGGTTCACAGTGTAACAGGGCACAGGTGTGCACATGGGCCGGGCGGCCACACAAGCATGAATGAGGAACATCCATTCGTAGCAAGGATCTGGTGATGTTGTTCTCCTCTACAACCATCCGTGGCTCCCCATTGCCCACCGAAGAAATACCAACGCCACCTGGAAAAGTCACTCAGTGGCTGCACAGCCCTATTCTCCAGCCTCATGCCCTGCCCCAACCCCCTCCCCCCAAACCCCACCTTCCAAGCACTGCCTCCTCCTGTCGGCAGAAAACCTCCTAAACTGCCTATCACTACACCTGTCTGTGCTGCTGCCTCTACTTGGCATGCCTTTGGTTTGGGTGCAGGTGTGGGTGTGAAATGAAACACTCCCTGCCCTCATCTCTCCTGACCCCCCCTCTGTCCCCCGCCCCTGGGGTTCTGCCTGCAGACACCACCGCCGGGCGGTACACGTGCTGTCTCAGCCTGGTCCCTTTGGAACCTGCACCCTTTGCAGCAGGTCATGACCTGGTTGGTGGTCTGGCCTCAGGGAAGCCAGGGTGGTTCTTAGGAAGAGCCATTGGCGAGGCCAGGGTGAGTGGCCCTGGAGGCCGAGGGAGCACTTCCATGGGGGTGGGGGGGGCTTGAACCTGACCTGGAGCCTGGGAGCGGGCCGCATCCTGGGTGTGCCCAGGGGCTCTCCCACGGGCCCAGGGACGCTGATCTGCTATGTGCTTTGACATTTCAAAACTGACTTTGCAATAAAAAACACTCCTGTGGTCTGGTGAAAGCCAGTGGCTTGTGCCTTCTTCGCCTCCGGCTCTGGGACCTCCCCCGGCCTCTAGCGTCTCCCTGGAGCCCCTCCACCAGCTCAGTGATGCCCAGCCCAGGGCCCGCCAGCTGGGTGGCCGGGAGGTGCGCGTCCATCCAGCTCTAGGCGTGTGGCCGGGAGCGAGTCCCGTGCCCTCCCACCACCTGGCTCTCCATCAGTGAAACGGGAGAACCCCTCGGTCCTCGTGGGCTGAGCTTCCAGGACCCTCATGGAGGTGAGGCGTCTGGGAGGGAGCCCGAGAGGCTGTTGGTCCCGGAAGCAGGACACAGAGGCTGAGAGCCTGAGTCGGGGCCCAGGCCTGGGTTTGAGTCCCGGCTATGGTGGCGGCTCCCTGGGGAGTTTTCTGAGCTGCGGCTTCTGCGTGCTCCCGGGAAGGGGCGAGGTGCTGCCTTACAGGAGGGGGAGGATTGAGGGGAAGGATGCCTGGCGCAGGGCCCGCGGCAGTGCCGCCCACCGAGGCGCTGTTTCTGTGGCCCTGGTGCAGGGTGCAGGCACGCGGCTGTCCTGCCCCCCGGGGCCTCGGGAGCAGCTCCTAGGTCCCGGGTCATCTCTTCGTCTGCTCCCAGCCTCCTCCCCTGCCCTTGGGCCTGCGCAGCCAGGAGCCTCCCAGCCGGCCCCGGGCCCTCTGGTCAGCGGGTGCCAGCATTTCCTGGGGCCTGGCTTCCCAAAGCCAGATGCTCTGTCCCTAAACGCTCTGTGCGTGCCCTGCTGGCTTCACCTTCGTTCAAGCCCCATCTCAACCGTCTGCCCATCACGGAGGCTCCCTGCCAGTGCGGCCTGTGCAAGAAGCCCTCTTGGACCTCCCGCCCCTCCGTGGAGAGCCAACAATACATGGTGTCTCCTGGCCCTTCCACAGCCTCTGTGCTCCTGTCTGCAGACCCCCCCAGCCTGCAGGCACCGCCGTGTTTGTTCCTCCTGGACTGCAGTGCCCAGCACAGTGCCCACAGCTGTACCCAGAGCAGTGCCCACAGCTGTACCCAGTGCAGTACCCACAGCTGTACCCAGTGTAGTGCCCACAGCTGTACCCAGAGCAGTGCCCACAGCTGTACCCAGCGCAGTGCTCACAGCTGTACACAGCACAGACCCCAGAGCTGTACCCAATGCACTGCCCACAGCTGTGCCCAGTGCAGAGCCCGGGGCTGTG